ATCTGACATACTTTGGGCATGTTGCAAGGAGGAACTGGTCCTTGGAGAGGGACATCATATTTGGCAAAGTGGAGGGGTGGCGAAGGAGAGGAGACCTTTGATGAGATGGATCGATTCTGTGACTAGAGAGGTGGGAATAAGTGCGTTTGAGATGGCTAGGTTGGCACAAGATAGAAGAGCATATAGAGCTCTTGTACGTAGGGTCGCTATGAGTCGGAAGTGACTCGATGGCACATAGCAACAACAACAACAACAACAGATTGAAAAAGAGTAGGTAAAATTATGTCTCTATGCAGGTGATATGATAGCATGCTTAGGAAAATCTTAAAGACTCAGCAAGAAAACTACTGGACATAGCTGACCAATTCAGCAAATTGGCAGGATATAAGATCAACAAACAAAAGTCAGTTTAATTTCTCTACAGTGAAAAAGATAATATAGAACTGGAGCTGAGAAAAACAATATCTTTCACAATTGCTAATCACAAGATTAAGTACTTGGGAGTAAATCTAACCAGAGCACAAATGATCTATTCAAAGAGAATGACAAAGCATTACTACAAGAAACCAAAAGAGACCCAGAGAAGTGGAAGAATATTCCTTGCTCATGCATAGGAAGACTCAAAATGACAATACTACCAAAGGCAATTTATATGTTCAATGCAATCCCAATACAAATACCAATTCCATTTTTCAGTGAAATGGAAAAGGCTATCTCAAATTTCATTTGGAATGGATAGAGGCCCCAAATAAGGAAAGCATCCTCAAAAAGAGAAACAAGGTAGGAGGCATCTCACTCCCTCATTTTAAATCCTACTCTACTGCCATGGTGATCAAGATAGCACAGTACTGATACAATGACAGACACATAGATCAATAGAATTGAGAATCCAGTAATCATCCCATCCACATATGGTCAATTAATTTTTTACAAGGAGATGAAATCAGTCAAGTGGGGAAATGAGAGCCTTTTTAACAGTGTTGGCAAGATTGGAAAACTATTTGCAGAAAACTCAAGCAAGATCCACACCTCACTCCAAACACAAAACCCAACTCAAAGTGGATCATGGACAGAGGACTAAAACTAAAGGTATAAACTTCCTAATCCACAATATAAAAAGTCTTCCATGCACCCTGAAAAATCTACAACCAGGAGAGGATAAAATAGATGAATGGGACCTTCTAAGAATAAAATCTCTATTCACATCCAAAAACTTCTCCAACAGGGTTAAAAGGGAAGCCACAGAGTATGAAAAAAATATTTAGTAATGACGTAGTTGATAAGGGTCTTATATCTAGAATTTATAAAATACTCGAACACTACAATAAGATAAATGTAAACAACCCAGTTGAAAAATCGTCACAGGATATGAACAGACAATTCACCAAAGAAGACATTCAGATGGCAAAAAAAAAACAACACGTGAATGTTCAAAATCCCTAGCTCTCAGAGAGATGAAAATCAAAACAACTTTGAAATATCATCTCATCCCAATAAGAATAGCAAAATTTAACAGAAGAGAAAACAACAAATGCTGGCGAGGTTGTAGAGAAACTGGAACCCTTATTCACTCTTGGTGGGGGTATGAAATGGTGTAACTACTCCGGAACCATTTGACCCAGCAATTCCACCACTGGGAATACACCCTAAAGAAACCATAAGTGCCACCCAAACAGATACATGCACACCTATGTTTATTTCAACTTTGTTCACAATAGTTGGAAATAACCCAAGTGCCTATCAACAAACGAATGGATAGAGAAGCCATGGTATATCCACACAATGGAATACTACGCAGCATTGAAAACCATGAACTTACGAAATATTACACAAAATGGATGAGCCTGGAGGACATTATGCTGAGTGAAATATCTTAATCACAAAAAGACAACTATGACATAACACCACTGTTATAAAAGAGGATTAACATGATTAGATATTATTGTTATGACAGAAGTGCAGAAACAAGGTAGCATACTGGAGTGGACTTGGGGGCAGGGATTGAATAACAGTGAAAGAATTTGTTCTTCTCCTTTTCAAAAAGAAAAGCAAATTGGAGGGGGAAGGGTGGGCAGGGAGGAAAAGTGCAACAATGAATGAATGGAAACCCAAAGTTTCTGTAAACTTTCATGAAAATCAATTTAAAATTAAAAAAAAAAGAATTGATTGCAGAGGAAACTAGGAAACACATCTTTATGTAAATGAGATCTTCCTTCTGAAATACATGTTACCAAACAGATTGAGTTAGAATAGACATATAAATGTTCTTCTGATTGAATATTCTTATCATAGGAATGCATGCTTTATATCAGAAAAATATTAATTTACAAGTTTAGTTTCTTTTTCATTTTTCTTTTAAAAACCAAACCAGTAACAAAGGGAAAAAAAATAGATTATCAATATTTTCTTCTAAGTTGCCTATGGCTACATTGAAACCTCCAATGCTTTAGTTAGCACCCTAGCTTAACAATTTTTTATACCACCTTGGGACTCACATTACTCTAATATGCAAACAATATTTTCACCTCTAAAAATGGTTGGTGCTATTAAATTTGTTAATTGAAGTTAAAAAACAAAGTAACTAACAAGACAAAATTATTAGGTGGAAATGTTTTTCCCCAAAGCAGACATATTTGGCTGCAAAAACCTAAGAAGACTGTAGAAAATAACACTTACATTAAAGAAGGCCTTTAATTAATAATTATTTTCAGAATTAATAGGGGTTTTATAGTTGATGCAGGAAAGTCCTAAGAAGAAACAAAGCTAATTCATTAGCAGTTGGTGAGTACTAAAAGAATTTCTTATAGTGGCTCTAAGGAGTAATTATGTTCTAACAAACTAAATAATGCAAATGATGAGTTAGAATGCAAATTCCTACAATCTGATTTAAACGTTTATCCATACAACCAATGTTATAAAAGGCAAAGCCTATCATCACATTTCTTGTATTTAACATTTGCTTTTTTTATTTTATTTTCAGAGCAAATCAATGAAGAACTTAGTAAGTTCTATGTTTCTATCATGTACTAAATTGAAAATAAGATTGATTGATAACATTAACTTCTCCATAACTTGTTGATTGTATATGATTAACTGGAGTTCAGTCAAGTCTCAAACACCTTACTAAAACTTTTACTGATATCTCCAAATTAAAAAAAGACTATATTCTACATATTTTTTTAAATTAATATGTCCCTCTTTTCTTTATTTGTAGAAAAAGTCACTCTAGAATGTGGTAAGTTTTGATTTTGCTAAACTAAAATTACAACTGACATCTTCTTAGAATATGATCTTCTCTGTAATTAGTACCCGTAATTTGATGCAAATATTCATTAATGGCTCCAGGTTATAGAAACTTAAATTCTACAGTAATATTCTTGGAATGAATATGTACTTTTTTATTTGTAGACAAAGTTTTTGTAAAAAATGGTAAATTCTGTGTTTCTTTCATATGCTTAATTGAACATGCAATTATTATCTGCTTGAAACACTAATTTCTCCCTAAGTTGTTATAAACATAGGATGAATTGGAGTTCAGTCAATTCCAGTAATATTACACAAATATTTACTGATAGTTCCAAGATATACTGTTCTTATTGTATGCATTTGAGTCTGAATCAACTCACCGCTGGCTAAGGGCTTTCAGAGGCAGTAGATCACACCAGATTTCCCAAAATTCCCTCATAGAGTAGATGATGGATTCAAACTCTGTGCCTTTGGAACTGCAGCACAGCTTCTTACCACTAGGTTATCCATCATTTTGATTAGAATTTTTTTTTCTATTAATTTTTATTTGCAAGTTAAGTCAGTAAAGAGCTTAGTAAGTTTCGTAGTTCTTTCATATGTTAAGTTAGAAATACAATTTGTGTCTGTTCAGAACCCTACTGTCTCTGTAACTGCTTATACAAATATGATAAATTGTATGACTTCCTGGAGTTCAGTCAAATTCCAGCTCGCTAACTCAATTATTTAATGATATTTCCAAATTATAGAAAAAATTCTACTATAATTTTTGACATTGATATACTCCTTCTTTATTTATTTCATTGTCTTGTAGTACAATTCAATAAATAATGTGTTACGTTTTGTGTTACTCACATTTAAAATTGAAAATATAATTAGTAGCTTCCTGGAACACTGCATTTTTGTAACTGGTTCCAAGAAATCAAATATTCCCTAATAGCTACAAATTATAGAACAGTAAATTCTACCATTATATTTCCTGGAATTAATATGTGCCTCTTTGCTTTTTTTCCATAGACAAAATCTCTACAGAACATGATAAGTTCTGCTTTTTTTTCATGAGTGGCATCCACTTCCTAAACAATTGCCTCTGGAAACTCTGTGAACTTTGATAAATTTCCATAGTTATAGAGGTGCTTCAAGCCTTTTGTTCATAGGGTTTCTACGTGTTGTGCTCTACTCAAAGGCAAACAACAATAACACAAATTGAACATACTATTATTATCTACTTGAAGCTACCTTTTCCATAACTTGTTCCAAGCATAAGATGAAGTGAATTCAGTTAACTCCTGTAAACTTATTCACACATTCATTGATAGGTCCAAGTTGTGCTACTGTTAAATGTTTCTATTATAGTCTGAATGAACTCATAACTAAACCTCTAGTTTCCAGAGGCAGTAATCATATCAGACAACATTCCCTAAACTTCTCTCATAGAATTTCTGGTGGATTATGAACTGCTGCACATCTTCTTACCAGTAAGCCATCCTTCATATTTGCTTGAATTAATAGTTTCTCTATTTTCTTTGCAGACCAAATCAGAAAAGAACTTGGTAAGTTCAGTGGTTCTTTCATATGCTAAACTGAAATTACAATTGATTCTTCCATATGCTAAATTAAAATTACAGTTGGTGTTTGCTCTGAACACTAAGTTCTCTGTAACTGGTTGTATGTATATGGTGAACTGTATAAAAGATGTCCTGGAATTCAGTCTAATTCTAGCACTCAAATCAATTACTTACTGGTCTTTCCATATCATAGATGACCAAATTCTATTGTATTTCTTGGCATTAATATAGAACCTGCTTGACTCTGAGAAGAATTAGAATCCCAGAATATTTGACTATGCTTATTATGCAAAGTCTATTCATTGATTGTGTGGGTCACAACAGTGATTACTCTGAGAAGAATGGGAATCCCAGAACACTTGATTGTGCTTATGCAAAACCTATACTTGGACCAGGAGGCAGTCATCAGAACAGAGCA